TGATCATGTGCTACAGTGTCTCAGCAGTGATCTTCGCCACTGAAACGTATAGAACTCATGATATTCCAGATTTTTCAGAAACAGCATAGCAACCAACGTCACAATACAGCATGAACCATAGGACTTGAGCCAGGAGGCTGTGGACACATATGACGACCAACATCAAAATATGTTGATGGATATGATTATGTGTTATTCTGGCGGTGTATAGTTAGACGTATCTAATAATAAGGTTGCTATCACAATCATAGCAAGCTGCCGGAGTCGGAATGTTTTTAAATAATGACCTTGGCTCCCAGGTCGACCCAGCCTTGAGTAAGTACTAGGTGCAGTGCTGGGAAGTAAAGACGGCCAGCGTGATGCTGACCACTTCACCAGTCTTGAGCCGATAGTCTATAAAATATAGGTCTAGCCCTATATACCCAATACGCGTCAAAGGCGTAGAAAAGGGTCCTTTACTTTACTATCACAGCAAGGGTAACTACTCTGTGGGTGCATTATTAGATAAAATACGATAAATACAAATTATAATAATGTCACTAACTACATCCGCCAACCCATCACCATGCACCCCCCCTCCTCCTTTCCACACAAACACACCCACACCCCCTCCCCCACCCTTTACACACATAGGGTCACTAAATGGCACACAATCACACAGTCACCTCACTCGCAAACAGGCCCTCGCAAACACATATAATTATAAACCCAGACAGACAGACAGACAGACAAACAGACAGACAGACAGACAGACAGACAGACAGACAGACACACACACACACACACACACACACACAGACACACACACACACAGGCATGCGCGCCTGTCTGCATGACTGGATATCTGTATAATTATATAGGTGTATGTGACTCTTTTAGAATAAAGTTCGTTTGTTTGTCTGTCTGTCTATCTATGTGTATACACCTGTCTGTCTGTCTGTCTGTCTGTCTGAAGGCCTACCTGCCTTCCTGTACTCTGTCTGTCTTTCTGTTTGCCTTACAAACGTAGACCTGTCACATGCCGTACAGCAAGAATGCAAGCAAGCCAGTCAGATTATAATTCTAGTCTCTGTTGTCAGACATCAGCTTGTTGTCTATGCAAGAGATAAGGGCACCTTTATTTCCAAGTTGACTTACCACTTCCAGAATCCATACTGCAGGTTTCATTTTGTGTCTTGCCGAAACGTCTGCTTTGATCTGTTTACTCACAGTTTCGCTGTCACGTGACAAGTCACGCTAACAGTTTGCACATGTTAGTGCAAACAACAACTCTAAAACTAAGTGTCCACAACTACCGGATGAGTTAACCAGTGACCTTTCTACCAGTCCTTCCAACAAGATATTGTAACCACCCACCGGTCATTCGTGTATTTACTATCTGCAAGCAAAGTAGGCCAGATTTTACTAATATAATTTCAGCAGGATTATAAAGTGTGACAACGTTTGATGCGATGTTTGGGATTCAGGATTTCAAACGCATTCTTCTCTGGGATTGCCATAAAGGAAAAGTCAATGCTCAGATTCCAATCCAACAGGAGCAAATCCCAGTGGCACGCTTAAACCGTATAAGTATTGTTAGTGGACCATCCATTGATAAAGAATCTACTTTTCTGTCTTCTGGGTTGGGGGTTTTCTTCCACGTTTTGTATGATTACTTATGCAAATAATTCGTACCGTTCGAATTGTGCTTGGAATAAACATGGATTTAGTAAATAATAACAAAAAATTTTTGGTTATGTGTATGAAGTCAGTGATCTTGTTCTTTGTTCTTTATAAATACACCATTACTCCCCACAAGATGGCTGCCTGTCAGGTGAGTGAGTGAACTTGCTCTTCTATGTTCTCGATGTCTATGCTACTAGTCGCCACGAGATTGCTCCACTCTGTTGTGTGAATGTCCCTGTGAAGTGAATGATTCTGTATGTGTGTGATCCTGCTCCACACTATTGTGTGAGTGTCCCTGTGAAGTGAATGATTTTGTATGTGTGTAAGCCTGCTCCACTCTGTTGTGTGAATGGCCCTGTGAAGTGAATGATTCTGTATGTGTGTGAGCCTGTTACACTCTGTTGTGTGAATGGCCCTGTGAAGTGAATGATTCTCTCTGTGTGTGAGTCTGCTCCACTCTGTTGTGTGAATGGGCCTGTGAAGTGAATGATTCTCTATGTGTGTGAGTCTGCTCCACTCTGTTGTGTGAATGACCCTGTGAAGTAAATGATTCTGTATGTGTGTGAGCGTGTTACACTCTGTTGTGTGAATGACCCTGTGAAGTGAATAATTCTGTATGTTTGGTCTCGCACAGCTAGTAAGAATATTTTTTTATAATTTGTGAGCACGTGACCTAGTTTAGCGAGGTCTGAAAACCGGAAGTCAGATACGGGAGCAAATGTGTCCAGATAAGAACACGCAAAAGATTCATCTGGAGAGAAATTCCTGCTTCAGGTAAATAAGCTTTCAGTAAACATGAAGGTAATAAAGAGATAGAAACCTGGTGATGTCTACGTTTAGTTCACATTAGTTAGCCACTCGTCAGCTTTTCTGCCGGTTTCTGCTTCTT